TGCTCAGCCCTCGTCTCCGATGGGCAAAGCTCCGCATGCTTGTCATGGTTTAGGCAACGGCCGAGCGAGATTGGTGCCTGAACACGTTATTCATTAGGCAATAAACCCCCTCAGACATCTGCCAGGTCTCTGTCCTGCTCTTAACTCGTGCGATACCCGCTGCAGACAGACGTAACCCATCAGAGAGGCCGGAGATGCTCGCTCGGTGTGCTGTCTTCCTTCAAACCACCCAGGGCTGCAACATGCAGTTGCTCACATGTTCTCCAGGTTCTCCGGCCCCGAGGGGTGAAGCTCACAGTTTTACCCCAGAGGGAGCACTCTCCGCACGACGGCTTTGAGCTTCTCCCAGGACCTTGCCTGGAAGTGCCCTATCCCAGCAAATCTGAACGTGCATCACCGGAGCTTTATTCCTCCTGCAATGGCTCTGTCTGTGCAGCGGAGCTCACCCTGACAGGTCCCAGATGGAACAAATAAAGCTTCCAGCACCTCATAAATCTTTTAAGGCTGTTTCATTCTTTATTCCAAGTGTGGTTTTAGAAAATACTGTGCCATCATCTTGGAGATATATATTGTCCCCTGCACAGGAGGACCAAGCATGCCTGTCTTTGTACCGCCACTGCTGATGGCTGTCATCTCCTGCAAGGTAGGGCTGCAGCTACAGAGTAAGTTCACAACAAGCAGCAAAATCATAGAATCCTAGAATGGTTTGGGTTGGAAGAGACCTTCAAGATCATCTAGTTCCAAACCCCCTGCCACGGATAGGGACACCCTCCACTACACCAGGTTGCTCAAAGCCCCATCCAACCTGGCCTTGAACACTTCCAGGGATGGGGCAGCCACAGCTTTTCTGGGCAACCTGTGCCAGTGCTTCACCACCCTTAGTGTAAAAGATTTCTGCCTTGTATCTAATTGAAATCTCCCCTCTTTCAGTTTAAAGCCATTGCCCCTTGTCCTATCACTTCACGCCCTCGTCAAAAGCCCCTCTCCAGCTTTCCTGTAGCCCCTTTAGGTACTGGAAGGCTGCTGGAAGGTCTCCCTGGAGCCTTCTCTTCTCCAGGCTGAACAATTACCGTCCTTTCAGCCTGTCTTCTTCAAACCTACTGACTGAAATGATTATGTTTTGCACTGCGTTCTGGTCTCCCTCTCTTCAGAGCAAGCTAAGCACGATGTTGACAGGTGCTATGAGAAGGATCGAGCCAGAAAGCGCAACAAGTTCCATGACAAAAGCATTTGAAAATGAAGTTGTTGCTCTACATGATTATTTGGGGGATTTTCAGGGCTGTTGAATTACACTGACCCCCTGTGTGACAGGTGACACCGTCACCTCTTCTGCATTTTTCCTTCTGGTAGAACTGTCTTGCAAAGACTGTGTGACCTGCTCAGCTATGAGGTATCTCCAAAGACCCATATACAACAGCCAGCCTCAGTCTCGATCTGCCAGGACTGATGTTGACCTACAGCAGCATCATCCAACGGCTAAAACACACGTTCTCCATGGGGTCCACCTCATGGGCACCCTCCTATACCCTTAGAGGGAGCATGAACGAAGAAAGCAGCTACTGAAAGCAGAAGTCATGGTGCAGACAGACAGCCAGGCTAAGCATAAGCAAACCAGCCCTGCATGTTGAGATCCAGCAGGCCTGGTACTTATCTCCAGTAGACAAAGTTGTCCCCTCTGCTTTAAACTGGGTAAGGAAACTCTGAATCTGGTATTTCAAAGGGCCCAGAGTCACACATTGACTTTTGAGAGCCCATTTCCCGAACCGCAGCCTCTAACAGCCCTTTCAGGTGCCACCTGCGGTGGCTGGGACATCACCGTGGTGGTGGTGGCCATCACCGAGACGTCAGCCCGCCCACAGGCTGTCCAAAAATAGAGTACTGGAAGTATGTTGAGTGCAGTATTTCCATACCAATTAGATCAGTAACACAGTTTCTCCTTGAGCTGAAGCTAATAAATAACAGAAAACAGGGTTAATGCACAGCAGGAGGCCTGTCCTCTACGAGATGCTTTTTCTAAACTCTGTGCAATACAGGGATTCATGCTTTTACTCTCCATTATAGTGAATTCTGTTATATAAAAATGTGGTTCCCTTTAAGTCCTAACATTATAGTCAATTACAATATTTTGGTTTGTTTGGTTTTAATAGCATCCTGCCCCTTTTTTTTTTTTTTTTGGAAAAAAAAAAGAGGCAAATACCAGGATGGAGTTTTCTCATTTTCTCCCACCACTTAACCTAAGCAAACCAAGAGGGGTTCGGATCATTGCAGCGAGGGAGGCAATGCCACAAGCATACCCCTCCGACGGGGAGCAACGACATGACCAGCTTTGCTTCCACTGCAAGAGGATAAGGACAGAGCGTTTAAGCCACAGTGCCCATCCCTAATTCCCAGCTCCTCCGGAATGCAGTGACTGCTGAGTCAGCAGTTACTCCGTGGCCACCATTGCATGGGCAGCGAGGGGCTGGGGGTCCATGCTGCAGGCAGAGCCGTGCTCCAGCCCCGAGGCAACACGGCGTTGGGGCAGGAGGGTGCTACCACTTTGAGTAAAGCATTATTGGATGCCTCCAGTTTAAGGAGATAAGAAGTCCTCTGCGCTGAAAATTAAAGATAGACTCAGATTTCCAGCCAGCTCCTTCTCACGGCTAAAACCTCATCCTTCATGGGCGTACAGTGTGTGTTGTACAGCAGGCAGGAGGGATGGTGACCGTAACTAGCAGCTCTGGTCTGGATGGACACAACTGATGAGTGACAGACTCACCAAAGCGTGATGTTCCCCTCCCCTAGACAGCCATTAAGTACTAACTTCGCTTTCCAGGTTAGCATATCATTTTTCGGTCAAGTCATTTCTGCTGGTTGTTACCAAAGGCAGGTCTTGGAGTCACACCTCTCTCCTCGCACAGCGATCTACAGGTAGCACTGTCCTTAGTCATTTAAATACCACCTACTCCTATCAAAACAGGGAGCATTCATGAATCATGGAATGGTTTGGGTTGGAAGGGACCGTAAAAATCATCTAGTGAACGTTGGTCTCATCTGATGCCAGCCAGCCTGATCTCTTTTATCATTGTTGATGTTGTGTTGATTTGAGCTCAAAGCAAATAAATTCTCGAACAGATAACGCGCTGTGACACAGGCTGCAAACACAGCTGGTTCAGCCCTGCAGTGCAGGTTTTGGTCTTTCTCCTTCCAAAGTAAATATTTTCTGAGAGCATTTGTCCCACAACAGACCACAGACATTCTGGGTAGATGCTGAACAGCGTTGCCGAGCCTACGGAAAGCTCCATTGGAGCGGTGAGCCTCGGCAGCATCCCTCTGCCGCGACAGCTGCCTCCTGCCCACGTGTGGTCCCCACGCTGGTGAGGACACAATCCACGTCCAACCCACGCCCAGGGCTTCGTCAGGGGCTGTGGATAATCTTAATGTTTGTGAGTGTCTCAAAAAGAGAAGCAGTAAGGGAGGGGGAGATCTGAGGATCTCATCAATACCTGTATCTTATATTTGGGTGCCTGTATCTCAAAGCCCTTTCTAAGCTGTTCCCAACTTTAGACTCCAATGGGAGTTATGGTTGGATGGGGCTTTGAACAATCTGGTCTAGTGGAAGGCGTCCCTGTCTATGGCAGGGGGTTTGGAACTAGATGGTCTTTAAGGTTCCTTCCAACCCAAACCAATCTGTGATTCTATGATTATGAGCCCAAAAAACTGAAAGCATCTTGATGACAGTCAAAAAGAGGGCGGCCTCACCTGTCCTGAAGCGTGGGCTTGTGCCATAGGGGAGGAAAGAGAACAAAGCAAGAACCGGTCCCATACTCACCAGTAAGAGAAATACAACCCTTAAATAAACACCAGCCTGATTTAATTTCCAGCAGAGCTGGAGGGGTACAGGGAGTAGACGAAAGACCTAAACTTCATCCACCGCAAAGAGACAGAAAAGCTTAAAGGATTACTCGTATCGCTTACACGTCTTTCTTCTCGAGGAGGCTTACAAGCAGGAGCAGCAATCACCAGCATCCGAGTACATATAAGGAACAACGAGGGCTCAGCGCTGTCCCTGCGGTGGGGACAGCGAGCGGTTGTCATAAGGTGGGTTTAAATTAAACACTAGCACGTGTCTGGTTACCTCGTGGACAATAGACATCCGGAGCCCACCGGTTGCATTCGTAATTATCTGCTGCCTTCTCGCAGGTGAAACATTTAAATCCGTGAGGATACGGTGTGGCTGAAAGGAACAGACAATATTCAGTTAAAATGAGCCAATTAATCCGGTTCCACTAAGCTTTCCAGAGGCACACAGCAGCGTTTGTTCTCTTTAGACAAATCTTTCTACAAGTCTACCTGTCAACTTCATCAAGTTGGTCCCCATTGGTAAAAATCCCATCACCAACAGCAACGCGGGAAAGGCACATACAGATACAATAAGGACTCAGTCCAACCACATTTGCCCAGCAAAAGTGCCCACTGCTGACTTCAAAGGGAGTTAACGTGAGCAGGGAGTACTTCTTCTCTTGGTATCGGAGCTCACATCCAACACTGCTACTTTATCAGTGCTGATAACGAAATATCAGATGGTCTAAAATACTTCTGGAAACTGTCCCACCAAGGAATCGAGCTGCCCCTTTTGAAGGCAGGCTGACGTCCCTGAAGGAAAGAAAAGTCAGTTTGATGAACCTCCAGTTTTTAACAACAGAATCCGTCCTAATTTATCTCGCCAAACGGAGAGCGTAACTTCTTAAGTGGTCTCCTGGCAGGGCTTCTGTAGCACATTCAATACATCTTCAAGATGCTGCCACCTTCTCAGAAGCCAAGTGGTGAAGGGGTCACATTTATCTCCATGGGGCGAAGTAAGCTGAACCTCCGCAGCCCTGCAGGCCACATCTCACTTCTCCCTCCTCTTCACCTCCTCCCCTTGCCCATTGGCTCTGGGCCAGACCCTGTTTGGGTACGAGAGGTGAAGCAAGAGGCATTCGCTGCTTGTTTCCCCAGGCTTCTCTGGGTAAGGACCAGCAAGTCACCTGGAAGCATCTCTGGTGGGGCTGGTGCTGCCCTCAAGGAACAGCATGGGACGGGATAACACAACAACACTAATTAAATCCACCCATCTCACCTCCAGCAAGTCATGGTTGTGGCATAAAACAGGAATTTCATCTCACTTGTACAGAACATACATTTTTCAGCCAGATTTGGAAAGGAGGTGAGTTTTAACTTGGAATAGAGGCAGGCACAGCTCTCTTCTTCTAGAATTAAATAAGTTTGTATCTGAGGAAGTGAACAGCCTACTGAAAGGAGAGTCCATGGAGGATGGAAAGACGTAGGACTTTGCTATAGCATTGCTTCAGGGAGTCACTGACAAAGTCAGGAGCAGTTGGTGCCACAGCTGCAAATGGCCAACGCGTTTGGCCCTTGCTCACACCTATCCATGTACTCGGGCAAACTGCGTGGCCATGGGGCTTGGTCTATCTGGCCAGAGAGATTATTGAGGAACAGAAAATAGTGAACAAAAAGCTCCTGACACGCTCAGCAGCTGCCTGTAACCCCATCTGTCCTTTAATCCCTTTGGGAAGCAACGGTTTGGTTTTATATCAACCAGTTTCACACCTACTGGGGGTATTTATTTAACCTGTGCTCAACACTCAGCTCAACCCCGATGTTTCTACTGCCTTAACACACACTCACCCTCACCCTCCTCCCCGCGCCACGGCCGGCCGTGGCTTTGCAGCCCATGCGAAGGCGGCTTACTGGAAGGGTGGAGGTAGACGATGTCCTTGACGGTGAAGTCCTTGGGCTGCGCGGCCGGCAGGGCGCCGGCCAGGAGGCTGAGCAGCAGCACCCACGCCGGCGTGGGCTGCGGGGCCATCGCCGGGCGAGGACGTACTCATGCGGCGG